GCATGTAGTCCCAAGGATGTCCAGAGGAGCAACTTTGTTGCCAAGCAGAGAGTGCTTGAGCTTTCTTACCAGATCATCCTGATCTGATCAGAGGGGCCACATCCATGGAAGTCTCTGGAAAAACCATACAGAGAACACCTGATCCACCCTGAATTATATGAGAAATCCCCATTCCACTCTGAAGCCACCTTGACTCAGGAGATGCTGGCATGAGACTGCGCAGAACCTGCTGCCAGAGAGAAGAGAGAAGAAAAACTGGAAAGACAGCAGGCACGGGCCTCCCCTCGAAGACATCTGTTTTAATTTCTAAAAGACGTTAGGCACACAGCAAAAGAATAAGACGAAGACCTGGCTCACAGGAAGTCTTTAGGCGAAGACAGGTGCTGAGGCGACCCAGCAACAAGGGATAGAAGAGGAGCAAAACTCTACATTCAGCGAATGTCATCTTGCACACTTGTAAAGGCTGAATGGAAATAAAACCAGGGAAGAGAGGTCACTTCAGGCAAAAGCAGTGTTTCTAGTGGATCAAGAGATAATTCAAGTTTAAAGCTCCCAGTGTAATGAAAAGTAAAGCAATGCAGAAACAGGGGTTTACAGAAATGTAATATCTGCGTGCATAGCTCAGTGGTCAGGCGTGTGCTGACCATGTGCAAAGCACTGGCTTCACTCTCCAGCACCCACACACACACAGACACACACTTACACACCCACAGCATCTGCTCATGAGTCTTTATTTTATCTGGTGACATCTAAAAGTTTAAATTTAAAACCATTTCTGTTTTATTTTCTTTCTTTTTTTGAGACAAAGTCTCTCTATGTAGTTCAGGCTGACCTTGAACTCACTCTGGAGCCCAGGGTGGCCTCAGACTTGAGGTTACCCTCCTGCCTCCGCCTCCGAGTGCTAGGATTACAGCTGTGCACAGCCATGCCCAAGAAGAAATGTGATTTTAAAAAAATAGTTTAAAAGCTCCCACGTGCATGCTCCTCTTACCTTCTTAGTAAACTGGCTCACAGTGGTCTTCCAGGACACTTGTGACCCTCAAGCAAATACAGCTGACAAAAGCCACATGGTGACTCCTTGAGGGGCAGCGGACATTCGAGGGGGTAACACGGGAGGATCTCATCCCTGCCGGAAGAGGCTGCTGTGAAGGAAGAAATTTCTTCACTTGTAAACCACTCAGAACACATCAGCTCAAACCCACTCCCTCAGAAAACCACTATTTAATACCCTAAAAATTCATCTGCTTCACCCAGAGCATCTGCTGCAAAGTTCACCCTTGAATTTTTTTCCTGTGGATGCAATCTGAGAATCATAGTGTTTCAGATGACACTGGCGGGCAGAATAGAATGAAAAATTACTTCAGCAAAAATGTCAAAAACATTATTACAGGAAGAAGCAGGGAGCTACCATCAGCCTGGAATCCCAGCGTTTGAGCCCGAATTACCATGGCTCAGGCTGGGTGGAGGCTGTGCCGGGGCCCGGCAAGGCTGTTACTCTCCTGTCCCTGCCTCAGATCAGGGCATCCTCCCTCCACCAGAGTTGCCCTCAGCTGACACAGCCACTCTGGCCCTGTCCCTGCCTCCCTGTCCGCTCCCCAGCCCCACTCGGCCTTCTGTGCATAACCAAGTAATAATAACAGAAGAGTAGTGAGCTGTGAAAGGCAAGAACCCTGTCCCTGAGAGCAGGCCAGGGCTAGGCTTCATTCTACTCTTTCATTCTAAGCCAGGCGCATGCCTGTGGTCCTAGCACTTGCAAGGCTGTTGCAGAAGGTTCATTACAAGGTGGAGACCAGCCTGGGCTACAAAGTGAGCCCAAGCTGAACTGCACAGGGAGACCCCGTCTCAAAAGACAAAACAACAACAACAAACTCTCATTCCAAACACAGTAAACTAGTTAATATTCAGTAAACATAGATCTATCCTATATTACAAGATTGCCACCCATATCCCTTTCCCAGCTGGAAACTCAGGGTTTTTGTTAGATACCTCCAGCCCACAACTCTCACAGTCTCAAGACAGCTGCTTGCTAATCTGCCTGAGGCTCCCCTGGACTAAGAATGGTCCAGGAACAGAGACCCGACAGGTTGGAGGACCAGGGTCCCAAGCCTCTGGCAGTCCTCTGGCAGTCCTCGGGCAGCCAGCTGGGTCAGGCACCTCCTGGCCAAGGATAGGGAATGGTCTCGTCATCACACTCATCTTCCTTCCCTTTTCTGTTCTAACTCAACAGGTGGATGACAAAACACCTGAACTAATAAGCAAGGGGGAGAAACATCAGGCCTGACATCAGCTTTTTTCCTCAAGTAGAAGAAGGCGGATTAAAGCAGTGTGAAAGTGGTTGCAGTCAGTCTTCCTCCCCTCCCCCCTCCTGATCCCCTCCCCCTCCTCCCCACCGGTACTCCCAGCTCACTGCCTTCCGATCCAGGACTGCAAGTCCTGGAAGAATCTGCAGTCTACCACTCTGCCCCCTGGTTTTCAGGTTTGTGTTTGTTTCTTTGTCTCTGTCTCTCCATGTCTCTCTCTCTCTGTTTCTCTCTCTGTCTGTCTCTCTCATCTGTTGGTTCTGTTATTCTGAAACACACTTCTTCACCTCACTAATACAAAGACAGTTACTGATGCATCCCAGAAGCCCTGAGACACAAAATATACAGACAATGGCCAGATCATTCGTAATAGCTAAATCGGGAAGCAACTTCTATTTTTACAGATGAAGGATAAAGAAAAATGTGGTATTGACACACCATGGAGTACTACTCTGATTCTGCCAGGGAAAAAGGCATACAAGTCATTCATAGGGAAATGGGTGCAACCTGAGCCCACAGTGTCAGTGAAGTAATCAGACATATAGTTTATGCTGGAGCCATGGAAGCTGAACCCACATGAAGGGCTCGTGGCGTGGCCCAGGCCTGGCTGAACTGAGCCCGAGGAGATGCCTCAGGGGGCAAGATAAACCACAGTTGAGGCTGCCCGGAGACCTTCTGGATGGTTTTCCTTAATTAGCATTGTCTATTACTCTACGGGATCCTTTGAGTCCCTCCCAAGATCCTGCTCAGGTTTCCTCCATTGTCCACTCAGCTCCTTGCTTGTTCTGATTAAACATGGGCTGCCCAGTCATTTGGCCAGCCAGCTAGCAGGATGAGGAGCTCTGCTAAGGATTTCACTCCTAAAGACCTATGCCGCATATCTCACCCTTTGAACCTTCACAGTATACCCGTTTAGGGATTGGGGATCCAGGTACATACCCCAACAAGTTTAAACGCTGCATAGTTTAAAGTACATATATATGGCATAGTTTTTCTTGTATGAAATCCCCCTAAGTACAAATAAATATTAAAGCAAAATAAAAGATGCATGGGAAATAGGGAGACAGATCTTTTGCAAAGAGGAAAGGAATCAAAGAGGGAGGGGAGGGGAGAGGAAGAGGATGAAAAAGCTTGGAGATGTGTTGTGTTCATGGACCAGCTCTCCACAAGGAATGCGAGCCTGCCTCGTGTACTACATGCATGGACTCAAAAATTAAAATTGGAAAACAACAACGGCAACAAACTGGGACCTACCTGGTGGAAAACCTACATTATCTACAATGACCTAGAAAGTCAGCCGGCTGTCGGTCAGGTTCAGGAGGCTGGTCGGGGTCTTTAGTGACACCCGGAAGGCTAAGTGATAACTCACGTAGCAACTAGTCCTGAGCGGCCAGGACTTGATTCACAGCTGCCAGCTTCTCTTACGGTCCTGTTTCCTATGGAAGCACAAGCAGAGCCAAGGAATCCAAAGGTGTAACCGCAGCGGGGGACAGGGTGCCCACCACCTCCTGCCACTCCTTGGCTCACCTTGAGTTTCTGCCCAAGCATAAGGGTCGTGGCCAAACTGAAGCTCTAAATAACAAAGCCTTTCTCATTTAGTTGGTCTTTATTTCCACAGTCCTGAGGACCTGGGATGGCAAGAAAGGAGGCCCACCAGCTTCCACTGTGACTTTCACCCGGCCTCGAAACGCTGCAGCCTGTAGAGACCAAATCCCCAGCCCTGTGCTCTCCTGTATGGTCCTCCTACCTGGCACTGTTATTCTCCAGGTTCCGCGATTATTTGTCTTCAAATCAAAACTAATAGCAAAGGCAAGAGATCATATATGCTATGGGAAGGAAGTCCTTTTACACAAAATCGATTTTTGAAAAATCAGTCCAAGCCAGGTGTGGTAGTGCATATCTGTAATCTCAGCACTGAGGAAGCTGAGGCAGGAGGATCACTGTGAGTACCAGAGCAGCCTGGGCTGCATAGCAAGACCCTGTCTCAAAAAAGAAGGGAGGAAGAGGAGAGAGGAAGGAGGGGAGGAAGAGGGAAGAGAAAGAGGAGTGAGGGAGGAAGGGAAGGGAAAGACGGAAGGAAGGAAGGGAAACAAAGGAAAGGAAAAAAGAAAACTCAGTCCAAAAATCTTTTTGATTTATGGTTTGGGGACAACTTGCTGATTACAGTTAATTACAAAAGATTCTGTTTTGAAACCATTTTTGTTTTTTTGTACCAGTGATTGAACCTTGTGCTCGCCAGACAGGTGCTGTGCCACTGAGCTAAATCCCCAGCCTCTGTTTTCAAACATAGCTTCCTTCAGCTTAATAAAGCTACTATTATTAGATGAAAATATAAAAAGTATAAAAGTAGCCTTTAATTTACAATGTATATAATTTGTAACAAATCTGCAGTACTAAGATTTGAGAATGATAGCCACCCAATCGAGTTTATAAAAATCAACAGTAGAAGCTAAGATCTCTGCAAGCAGAGAATCAGAAGAACCTAGAAATATGCGTTGATGTCACATAATATATGGCTATCACAAAGTTAATCATTACATTTATCTTTTGCTTTTTTTTTTTTAATCGGTACTGGTGATCAAATTCACAACAGCGCTTGCAAGGCAGGTGCTTATGCCGCTGAGCTAAATCCCCAGCCCCTATATTTATTTTTTTGAAAAACAATAGGTAATAACTTTAAATCAGTAGAGATTCACAACAGACTTGTCAAGTATTTATTTGTGGCATATGGTAATGCAAAACAATTGTTTTCAACATTCTTCAACAGTGTGCAAAAATCAGGCCTGATTTAAGAAATATCATTTATTAATTTAACTTTACAAAGCAAATCACCATTATATTGTAAACATGATCAAAGTAAATCCTGGGCCATGAAAAAAAAAAGACCCCAAACCCCCAAAGCAGCACAAATCTCCCTTCCTCCTGAAGCAGAAATGTAGCAAAATGAACAGAAAGATATTCACAGAGTCGATCTCTGGGTTACAAAGAGATATACAGGAAACCGTTTCTAAGGGAACAATCCCAACATGGTTACAGCTGCGGACAGTGTGCACTTGAAAATTCCGCAACGCCTCACTCATGTCCATTCAATTATCCAGAAGATTCGATCTGTTCAGGAAGCAGCTCTGGAATCCACTTGGGACTTCCAGTTTAAGGGTGCTGTATTAACAGTACACAAGAGAAGTATTTTAGTACATTTTCAGGCGAAGGAGTCTACTCTGAATGCTATCAATCCGCACATCTACACTGTGACCGAATCTCCTGCACATTTACCTGTGCTGTGCACAGCAGGAAGAGAACTTCTAGACTTCAGAGTAAATACAAGGATCTCCCACCCCAGGATCTGAGACAGAGGGAGAGGGAGAGACAGAGGGAAATGAAACTTACTGCCACCTTCAGAGCTTGGTCCAGATCTTCCAGGAGGTCTTTTTCATCCTCTAAGCCTACCGAGATTCGAATCAGCGTGTCGCTAATTCCAAGGATCTCTCTGTCCTTCCTAGGCACGGATGCATGGGTCATGATTGCCCTGGAAGAAGATGTGAGCAGATTTTGATTACTATCTTGTGCCAGAGAAGACAGATTTCACTCTCATCTATTGTAATTACAGTCACTGGTTTTTTGCTTCCAAACATCAAGTTTTTCATACCTGTATAATTTTTCATGTGCAAAAACCAAAGCAAACAAAATAACAATGAAACTTCTCTGATCGTAAGTTTAAAAGCAAACCAAGACTTTAAAATTCTGTTTATACCAGTGGTAAGGTATACTCAATCCCAGCACTGGAGGTACCCGGCAAGCACCTCCGTCCAGGAAGGAAATACTAAGCTCCAGCTTGTATGGGGTTTGATCAGAATATACAGGGACTGTTTAAACTATTTAAAATATCACAGTAAAGACACATCACCCTGAGTCTCCTTCAGATTTTCCCTCTCGCTTTGAGCACAGGAATCCTATCTTTCTTGCCACTTTCTGAAGCAGCTCTGGAAAGTCCACTTTCCTGAGTGCCTTTACAAGGTGTGATCAGAAATACGATGAATGCCATGCACCAGCCACCAGAAAGACAGCCTTGTGAAAACATGACCAAAGTAATGTCCATCTGTTTTCCAGGCCTGGCACCGTGGCCAGAACCATGGGATCCGTGTGCTCCCAGTGAGGGGAAGATTTTGGAAGGGATTAATGGCAATGTGACCTTTAGCATAATAAGTTTTAAAGTTTATAATAATTGGGTGTATTTTTTGATCACATTGCATAGATAAGAATATTAGTCAGGATGAATGAGGCCCTGGCAGGGAGTTATGTAATCCATGCAGCACTGCTTTTAAGTGGCCTCTGGGGCAAAGGCCTGCAGAGTTAATTCCATCTGACTCGGTGAATGAATCCGGAGCTGCCCCTTCTGAGGAGGATGACAGGAAGATGAGCCACTCTTATCAACCACTAAGCCTCAAGAATCCCAGCACCGGGGCGGGGATACAGCTCAGTGGCACAGCGCCCGACTAGCAAGTGTGAGGTCATGAGTTCAATTCCTGGAATGGAAAAAACACAACCCCAGCACATGTAACCCAGGACTTAGCAGCCCTGAAGAATTCTTCAAGCTAACAAGCAGCTCATCATTTCTGTCAACACGTGTAAACGTAAAGCCCCTACTCTGCACTGGCACTACAGTAAAAACTGGAAACCAAGCATGATGCGGTATTTGGATAACAATCCAAGAGCTAAAGGCTAGGGCAGTTCACAAACCAGAGTAATGCACAGAGCCCTCCAAGGAAGGATGGGCCAGAGGAGTGCTAGAGCCAGAGGAAGTCGGTGCTCCGGTGACTGAGGCACCATGGCAGAGACACCGAGAGGCTGCTCAGCCCCAACCTCTTCCCGTTCCCTGTGCACCGAGGTCAGTGCTCCAAATGCCTTCTCCCATCTCCCTGCAGACCCGAGGGGCTTCAGAGGTGGTCTGGGTAAGGGGGCGTCTCCTTCCCTCACTCCAGTAAAGGTTTCCACATAAACATCCTCCTCCAGACACGAACTTAGTCTAGGAGTCCTGGGAACCTGGGGGTGATTGCTGTTCCTGCCACATGCTGGCCTGGTGCCTGGCTGAAGCTTCCTGTCTTCCATGCCTATCTCCATATCTGAAATAATAACAGAACCTGCTGTGTGTTCACCATGAGGCAGGTACTCCTGCTGACTCATGTTATTAAAATAAAAAAAGTCACATGAGCAGCCAGGCGTGATGGTGCACACCAGCACTTGAGAAGTTGAGGCAGGAGAACTGCCACAAGTTCAAGGCGAGCCACAGGGACAGGTACAAGGCAAGTCTCACCTACCCTAAAAAAACAAAAATAACAATAATATTAAAATAAATAACATGTTGCATGGTTTCTCTTAGAAGAAAGCCGAATTATAAACAAAAAGCAAAATGAAAGCTATGCAACAGGAATTAGGGAGCTTGACCTTCCTTAAATGGAACAGGATCCAGAGCTGGAGGGGAAAGAAAAACAAGAGGCAGAGGGAGCGAAGATGCATTGTGCGCCTGGGCCAGCTCCACACAAGAGGCAGACATTAGGTCCTGCAAACACAGACTCATAAAAACTGGGTTTTTTAAAATTAAAAAAATTAACATGCTAAAAAATGCATAAAATGTAATATGACACCATCCATCTTAAAAGTTCAGTCACGGGTATGAACTGAAAGCATTTATGGAAAGCACTTACAAGTACCCGGAATATAAAGCTACCCAGGGAAGTGTAATTTGCAGTGGTAATTGATGTTTATTAAACTGGGCACTTAACATGAGCTCTAGGGAAGGCGATCGAGGAATGACCAGGGCCAAGGCTGGAGGGACTCCATGCCCTGGACCAGGAGCCTGGCTCAGTCACGCACTGGTCACTGCACACTGGTGGGACCACATCCCACTGGTCACTGCAGTGCTGACCCGGCCACAGCAGAGCAGGCAGACACGGAACCGACAGCCACCACACACAGCCCTGACCTCGGTTCCCTCGGCCCTGCCTCAGTCCTGCAAGGTCTCAGGGCCAGCAACTCCAAACCAAATGCCTCAGCGAATCAGGAAGCATCTGCTTGTCAGCAGCGAGCTCTTCACATACTGTGTATTTCACTACCATAAAACCCACGCCTCAGCGAGCTGAGTATGCCCTCTGGTGCTCTCAGCCTCACTAGCAGGCATCTCCTCGGAAGACTGGCGACTCTGCGTACCTGAGTGATATCTCTGCAACACTGTTCCCATAAGCCACAGCAAAGACAGGAGAGGCCGAGACCTTAGTAATCCCTGAGCTGGCTTTGGCACCCTGCTTCTGGGCCGCAGGTGTGGCACAAACATGTGTGAAAATTAAAACAAGGATGAGTCACGTTTGTGTGCGACAGATGAAAAGTGTGAGGTAAGGAGGCTAACTTAACATCACAATAGCTACAAGAGAGGCACAGCAACGTTCAGTACAGGCAAGACCCAGCCAGGGAAACTTGGCGGACCAGTCACCCCAATAAACGATACCCGATACTTTAATCCTTACCCCCATCTTACGGATAAGAAATGGAAATTTTAATGAAGGAAGGAAATGCAGGCTCCTGTTACTTCCCCTCACTATTTTTGATGTGAAAGCCTCAAAACTGAAGTTTCCTCTTCTCTACTGTAGGTAAGAGTGTACACTGGTACAAACACCATGGAAATCAGTGTGGAGTCCTCAAAAAACTAGGACTAAAGCTGGGTGTGGTGGTGTATGCCTGTCATACCAGCATTCCAAAGGCTGAGGCAGGAGGATCACTGCAAATTGGAAACCAGTCTAAGGTACAAAGTGACTTAAGGCCAACCTAAACTGCATAGCAAGACCCTGTCTCAAAAAGACCAAAAAAGAAAAGAAGGAAAAATAACTAGGGGTCCCTAGTTTAAACCTAGCTAGTCCCCTTCTTGAAAACTTCCTGAAAGAACTGAAAGCATCATGCAACAGCAATATACACACACCCCTGTTTACAGCAGCACAGTCTGGGAAAGCTAAACCTTGGAACAGCCCAAATGCCCACCCACAGCAGAATGGATAAAAAAGAGGTGATTCTTTTAGACAGTGGAGTACTGCTCAGCCATACGGAAGGATAATCTTGAGACATTTCTGGGTAAATGTATGCACCTTGCAACCATGCTCTTAACTGAAATAAATTGGACACGTATGTAAGTGCCACATCATTTCTCTGGTGTGAGAAACTGAAAGTGTCAATAAGGACCAAAATGTACAGTAGACACTGTGAAATAGGAAAATATTCAGATGAGAAGGGGGTGGGGTAGGGGGTAGGAGGAAAGAAAGGGGAAAGAAAAGAAAGAGCAAAAGAAGGAAAAATGGAAATGAAGCTTCTGTAAATAGGGAGGGAAGAGTGAAGGGAAGGGCAATAGCAAAAAAGAAGAATGGAGATAGAGCCTGTACAGGTCCACAGTCCCTATCATGAATGTGATCATGACGCACACCTAAAACATACCAATAAACTTAATTAAGAAACAAAAATCTAAAGTTGCCAACAGATTCTGGTGGACGTTTGAGTCGATCATCTAATCTTCAGGATCCGAGTTTCCTTATCTTTAAATATCTTTAAAATAACCCACCAGGCTGCAGGACCCAGGGAGCGTCCTTGCTTTCCCAAAGCAGCCGGATGATTGGGGTCAGGTGACCAAAGGCCCGGAGCCAGGGGCCGCTGGGAAGCACCCAGTAGATAGCGTGGCGCGACGGAGGAGGGTGTGAGGCACAGTCACCGATACCCAGGAGCCCTGCGAACACTTGGCCAGTGCAGGCCCAAGGTCCCTCCGAGGCCACCTGACATGTCCGAGGTCTAGGTTGTCCTGACTGCTGGAACCTCCCCAGGGAAGATAAGGAAAGAAAGCGGCCCTCGGATGCACACAGATCTCCATGGTTACCCCCGCCTTTTCATTCTGCATTTCCACACAATCGCCAAAGCCGGCTTAGAGTTAGAAGACTGAGAAAATAGAAACACACTTACGGAAGTTCCACAAGACTTTCATATCCTCCCAAGCTCTCGGCCAGAGTAAACAACTGTAACACAGAAAACGTACACTTAGACCTTCCGGCGAAATAAAACTCCTGAAACCTACGAGTGACTGTTTTTAGTGAAATGATCCTGGCACAGGGGGGTGGAGAGCAGCGGTCACTATGAATAAACTAAATATTGGGCAAGAAAAAACTAAATATTGGGCAAGAAACCGAGGAAAAAATGAGAATAAATTTGGTAGCAAAGATTTCACCAACTAAACAAATTAAGTTTAGAATTTTAAAACAGCACACGTTGGCCAAAGTGAACCTCCTACACTATCCTAATTTGGCTCTGAACTTATTCAAGTAGTATTCGACATGAACGCTAAGACTTCAAAATGATTTTATTTTATTATTTGCATGTTTATTTTGAGATAGGATTTTGCCATGTAGTTCAGGCTGGCCTTGAACTCAGGAAGTAACACTGTTTGTCATGCAGCAATTCTGCCTCAGCGTCCGGAGTGCTGAGATTATAGGAGTGTGCCACCACACCCAGCTTCATAACCATTTTTATATGACTATTTCTGGGCTGTGGAATGAGCCATCTGAATCTCCATTATTTCTTATAAGGAAATTCATTTCGATATACAAGTGCCTCAGATTACAAGCAGGTTTCCAGAACAAATTATGCATGAAAGCCAAGGTTCGACAGAATTTAATTTGAAAAAAGAGCTCACTTTAAATAAATCTGAAAGTCAGTGTATTAGAATACTGTGTCCCAGCCAGGTACGTTGGCACATGCGTGCAATCCCAGCACTCGGGAGGCTGAAGCAGGAGGATTGTCATGAGTTTGAGGCCAGCCTGGGCCACATAACAAGACCCTGTCTCAAATAAAATAAAAAAGGATTTTTCTGTTTCCGTCTGCTTGGTTGGAGGACGTGCAGAGTTGGGCAGATCACATTCAATGTCGGCTGCTGAACCACTGCCATTTACATCATTCTCCACGCAGTGGACTTGGTAGTGAGGGGGTCATGGGTACGGCTGGCAAGAGCAGAGCCTCATGGGAGAGATGAGCCAAGACTGGGCTGGTACCTTCAGGTGCTTCAGGAAGGTCTCAGCATGCTGAAGAGAGCCCTTGATGAAGAAGGTGATCATCCCCGAGCAGCCCATGCACTGCCGCTTGGCCAGCTCATGCTGCGGGTGAGAGGGCAGCCCTGCAATCGTGGAGGACAAGTCTTCTTTTAGAGCTAGCACATAACTTCCATATCCCCTCAGAGAAACAGGAAGTACGGCTGACAGTGAGGTCCACATCCCAGCCACACCACCTGCTTCACCCCAGCAGCATCTCACCACCTTGCGTCTCAGGACCTTTGCACATACCATCACCTCCCCTGACCCCCTTGTTACTTGCCTCCTTCTGTAATTCCTGCTTAATGTCAGCTGTGATGAAAAACTACAGGACAAGGCTTGCATTTTTAAATTTTACTCTAATAAAAGACTCATAGCCATGAAGCCCCCACTTGGAGCACATTCGTCCCACTGTCCCAATCACATCCTGCAGCAACTCTGCAGAGCTCTCTTTTGAGGGTCTTTAGCTGCTCTGTCCTGGCTGCCTTGATGTCCTGAATCCATCCAAAACACCTCCCTTTCCTGGTCATTCTGATTTTGGGGAGGAGCTGGAAGTCACACCATGCCAGATCCAGTGAATGAAGTAGAGGACAGAGCGTTGTGTTTTTAAAACCTTGTCTTTACACAGGATGGCAGTCGGTGGCAGCATTCACTGAGTTTTGTGTGACACTTTATAAAGACGCTCGGGAGCTGATGCAGAAAATGGCAAGAACAATGGGATGAGTGTGGTCAAAGTGAGAGGAGAGCCAGGCATGGTGGCTCATGCACTTGGGAGACTGAGGCAGGAGGATCACTGTGAGTTAAAGGCCAACCTGGGTTACAAAGTGAGCTCAAATATTTTATATAGCAAGAATTCTGTCTCAAAGAAGACATGGTTGAACGAATCTGAAGCCCCGGGGCTTATGTCCGCCTGACAGATGTGACAATGCTAAACTGCAGGCCACAGCTCCAGTCCTCCTCCTTCCACCAAGGATGGACACCGACCAACAGCCTGTACCACACCACACTCGGGACCTGGGCTCTCGCAGTCTCATCACCTTGACGGCAGAGCTGTAACCTGAAGGAGACCACTACCAAGTGTCTCTGAGCAGGTTTTAAAATTAACTCTTTGGACTTCCGGGAGAACATGGCGGACAGATAACAGCAACTACCGGAGGCTCTCTGAAAAACTAGGCTCAGAAGCCAGGTATGGTGCGGACTAAAGAGACATAAGCAGGTGGAGTTATGCTCTGCTGACTCAGGAACTAACTCGGCTGAGAGAAACCAACTTGGAATGCAGTCCTGGTGCTAAAACAGGAACAGAAAAGTCTCGCTGCTGAGGCTGGACCCTGCGCCATTGGAAGCCGCGATTTTGGGTTTCCCGCCGCGCGGTGGCTGGCTGCCTCTACATCGGCTCGGCAAGGAGAGAGACGCGCGGAAACTCTGAGAACGGGAGTATGCGAACAGAGTCGAGGGACGGGCAGGGAGGCATGTTCTGACTTGTGGCGAGGTGAGTGACAGAAACTGACACTCCACCACAGTTTGACTCCAGCGGACTTTCTGGGCCCGAGCAGTCCTGCGGGAGCAGGGCGCGCTGGCGACTCCAGCCACACATTCCCCTCTCGGGCGGGATTGGTGAAAAGTGTCTGGCCTGCGTGACGCTGCTGGCGGACCCCGTAGGCTGGCCCAACCCAGATCCCAGAGCCTGACGGAGGCCTGGAGGGGCGGGCCCCCACGTAGGCTGCCTGGTGCGCAGCGGTGAGTGGGAACACCTAACCGGCACAATTCCATCAGGCTGTGGCTGACAGGGAGAGAAGCTGGGCCTCTCATATAAGCTTGCATATATAAGGAACAGAGAATATGGGAAGAGGCAGCAACAAGAAAGGCTCCTCGGCCCCCAATTCTGAGAAACAGGCAATAGCAGACACCGCACCATTACACATAAGGTGCCATATAGAGAGCCTCATAGACCAATTCAGGAATGAAGTTATCAACGACCTGAAGCTAGAAGTATGCAAAATAGTTAGAGAAATGCTAAGCCCCACCCAAGAAAAAACAGATGGTGGAATGGAAGAACAGAAAAAGAGGGGAGAATTGTTTGATGGAGAAAACAGGGAAAGCATAGAATACGTGAAGCAGGTTCAAAGGGACTACCAAGAAACTAAGAAGTCTATCGAAGACTGGCATAACAGCTTGAAAGAAACTAAGGACAGACTATCTGAACTGGAGGGCAGAATTGTAATATGGGAGAATGAAATGAAAAACTTCTTAAAAATAACAAAGAAACAAACAGCAATAATACAAAGACAAGAAGATGATAAGAGGATCCATAACTTAAGGATTAAGAACATAAAAGAAGAAGTAGGGACACAAACAAATGAACTACAAAAGCTACTCACAGAAATAATCCAGGAGAATTTTCCTAATTTAGCAAAAGGTAAAGATACTCAGATGTATGAGGCATACAGGACCCCAGCTACCTACAACCCTAACAGAGCAACACCCAGGCATATAATAATAAAAATTCCAGAAATTCAATACAAGAACAGAATATTAAAAGCTGTCAGAGACAAGAAACAGATCATTTACAAGGGAACACCCATCAGAATTACAGCAGATTTCTCTGCACAAACCATCAAATCACGAAGAGCGTGGGGGGAAATAATTCAAGCTTTGAAAGATAATAATCTCCAGCCAAGATTGAGATATCCTGCACAACTGTCCCTGGAAATTGATGGAAAAACAAGGTGCTTCCAGGATAAAGAGGAACTGGGGGAATTTGCAACCACCAATTCAACTCTACAGAGAGTATTGCAGGATATTCTAAAAAAAGAAAAATACAAAGAATCCAGAAATAGTGGAGGCCACAACTATTGGAGCAGAGAACAAAGTGAAGAAGACAAACTGACAGCTACTGACAGAATAAGAGCTCAACAGAAATGAGGCAGAGAAGATTGGATGATAGGAACAGCTATTTTGGAGAAAATGACATCTTAATAGGTAATACTGATTCAGATCATCTAGTTTTGAAGTCTCATCTAGCTTTTGTCCTTCTGTCTCCAATGGTCTAAATAGGTTGTATCTTACTGGATTTTATTATGTACGATAGTATAAGCAAAAACCTTGTAAAGACAAGGAGATTATACAGAAACCATTATTCATATTCTGTTAGTCGATTCTAAATACTCTGTAATGCTGTCATTCCCTTAAATGGTTTTACATTGTTTTTGATATACTTAATGCTACAGTATACGAAGTTGTACTCAAGGATTTCAAGGAAAGAGACAATATGGTAACTACTTTTAGGTCAGGATTATCTGGTGGTGAAACACTATTCTGCTTAAATGGTTATGTTTTGATCTGTGCTGTTTCGTTGTTATGTCCTCTTTTATCTCAATCTCCACTCCATTATTTACTTTTTTAATACTTTTTAAAAAATTTTTATCCTTTTAATTAAAGGAAAAAAATAACAGGATATATTATAGTAACCCACTTTGACTTTCCATTACCTCGATTTAAAGCCCTGTATTACTCTCACCATCTGGTTTTTAACTGATGTTCCCCTATTCTGTTTTGCTGGATAGTATCAGGTTCGAAAGTTTAGGCATCAGCTGAGAAGATAATGAGATTCATTATAACGTCCATTCTCGTTGACTTTTATCTACTTTTGAAGACCTACAATGTCTCCAATGGTTTGGTTTTGTCGGTTTTGTTCTTTACTGTTTTGTTCAATTGTATTATAACTAATGATATAGGCAATTCTATTAGAGATAGCGGGAGGCATTATGGTAACCATTGTTGATCACCTTGTATTATGTTTTCACATTATCTATTATGTCCACCCTTTTGACTTGACCGATTCTGTTCTGTTATGTCACATTTGGTTTTACTCTCTTCCAAAAAAGTAATAAGAACCGTGAGAGCAATGAAACCCAAAATGTGTAATAGTCATTGTACAAAAGAGAGGAAAAGAAAGTGCTCTAAACTATATAACTGCATGTATATTTAAGTGTATAAGATAGAATATGATATCACAGAGTTTTATTGGATCATTGAACAGAACTGTTTGCAGTATCATTGATGGAATGTCCACTTTACAAGCTTTAATTTTGTGACTTGAACAATTATTTCTAAGATGACAATATGTAATCCATTAACTAGTAATTTCCTACTGTTCATTTTTTTTTCTGCAAATCTGTATAACTTGTACCCTTTCTCTGCTTTTTTTTTTCTTTTCTCCTTAAATAAAATTAAAAAAAAAAATTAAAAAAAAAAAATTAAAAAAAAAAATTAACTCTTTGGCTTTCTATGTTTCTCTGTGAGTCTGTGCTAAGCCTCTGCCCCTTCCCTGGTGACAGGAGCTGATTCATAGTAAGTGAACCTCTATGAATCACTGGTCCTGGCTGAGACCTGTAGTGGCCTGTGAGGCCAGAGATACCTCAGAGGGCAAGATAAGGCCACAGCTGAGAATGCCTGGCTCAGACATCAATTAAACAGATAGAGACTGCAGCTGTAAGAATCTCACTCCTGCAGTCCACTCCTACCATAAATGTCCTTGTGGAGATAAGATGGTTCTCCTAAATTGGCGTAATTTACTACTTGGAGAAGTCTTTGAAGTGACTCCCAAGGTCCTGCTCAGTTCCTGTGTTTTTCTCAGTATCCCCTCTCTTTGTCTGAAAACCTAATAATTACGGGCGGTCCAGAGAAGTCTTTGTCTCAGCCCCCAGAGTCTCCAACTCTGCAGAGGGTTTTGTTCCTCTTGGAACTCCAAAATCCCACCACTTGTCTCATTTATTTAAGCCTTCACTGTACACTCATTTGGAGGTTGAGGATCTTGGCCAGGTCCCCGATAGTAATGATCCCTAGGACAACATGGGGAGATACTCGAAAGGATCTTTATAAAAATGGTTAGCCTAAAATCACCACAGGTTAAAGTCAGGTACAAAACAATTCTTTGAAGTAACATGAAATCTGCTAATTCTATCAAGTACCTGTAGGTGCTGAAAGGTAGGGAGGGATTTAAAGAGAAAGAGAGTTCAGGGGAGTTGAGGCACAGAAGAACCATGTCTCAGTGAGACAGACGTCTCTGGATTAAAGGGAGGCCAGCGCTGAGGTCATGAACAAAGCACCTGCAAAGGACAGGGGTGGGCTCTTGGGATTGGTGCACACAGCCTGAGCACTAAAGACCGTCCCAGGATTGTGGAGGACCAAAGGCGAGGCCCTGACTCCCAAGCATTCATTCACTAGCGCAAAGACCACATCTGTCTGCTCCCCACAATGCCTCGCAGCCACATATTTAAATGCACAGGGGGGACCCAGTAGTACCCACCTGGAATCCCAGCTCTCTGGGAGGCTGAGGCAGGAGGATTGCAAGTTCCAGCTCAGCCCAGGCAATTTGTCAGCTTAGTGAGACCCTGTCTCCAAATTTAAAAATTTAAAAAGATCTGGGAATGTAGCTTAGTGCAAAGACCTTGAGTTCTATTACCAGTAAGAAAAAAATAATAATAAATAAGCAGCCAAATATATATGAAAACACCTCACTTAACAAATAAATGAGGCCAGACATGGTGGTGCACACCTGTAATACCGGCACTCGGGAGGCTGAGGCAGAAGGATCACTTTGAGTTGGAGGCCAGTTTGGGCTACAAAGTGAGTTCAAGGACAGACTGAACTGCATAGTGAAACCCTGACTCAAAAAGATAAATAAATAAATGTCACATGAACAGGGAGCTCTGAATGATATTTAAAGTCCCAGAAGAAGTGTAGCTGCTTAGAAATCACATCAACAAGCCAGGTGAGGAGACAGTTGTAATCCAGCACTCAAGGCTGAGGCAGGAGGATTACTGCAACTCTGGGGCCAGCACGGACTACATAGCGAGATTATGTATTAAAAAAGAAAGAACAAAAAGAAAAAAGAAAAAGAAAGGAAAGAAAAAAGAAACTGGACCAACATACCAGGGTAGATAACCTTTTCTACTCGGGGGTTGGACTCCAGGAACCGGGCCACAGCCATTGCATTTTGGAAATGTTTGTCCATGCGGATTTGCAGCGTCTTGAGGCCACGAATGCACAGGTAACAGTCGAAAGGAGACGGCACCGTCCCGAGACCTACGATGTGAACACATTTTGGGTTAGCTAGTGTGGTGCACACCCATCTTCCCAGTACTTGGGAGGCTGAGGCTGGAGGATCCCTACAAGTTCAAGGTCAGCCTGGGCTACAAAATGAACCCATGGCCAGCCTGAACTGCACAGTGAGACACTGTCTCAGGAAACCAGCAGGAAGATCCTCATGAGTTTAAAGTCAGTCTGAACTGCACAGCGAGACCCTGTCTCAAAACCAAAAAAAGTTCAAAGGGGGAGGGGGATGAATTTCCTGTAAACTAAGTAAAAACACAAAAGTATCAAATTTTCAACTATGAAGATGAATAGTCTTTTGGATGTCTGGGGGAGGGGTGGGTTGCAAACAGGGTCTATGTAATACAGTCTGTCCTTGAACTCACTATGTAACCCAGAGTGGCTTCAAACTCATGGCAAGCCTCCTGCCTCAGCCTCCCGAGTGCTGGGATTACAGACATGCATCAGCTCTGCTTCTTTTACTCACTATTTTGCAAGAAACGAAGTCGGTTGTGGAGGTCTTCAGAATTCACCGACACTAAGCCCATTAAGACATCACAGTGACCTACAGCAAAACAAACCCATTCACCAGAAGAATAATTTATGTTACTTCTTCTCTTTCTCATTTCCAAAATGTAACATGTGTTTGAAAAAAATTCTCAAAAGAAAAGTCCTCTAAAAGAAGTTTACATAACTTTATTGAATTTGACAGGAGTAAAACCTATTCCTAAAGCAATAAAATAAAAAAATCTGTAAGAACTAAATATTTCTTCCCAAGGCTAAAAGCTTCATCTTTGACAGTAAATTATAAGACTTTCCTCCTGAATCATGACCATAGCTTTGCCTTCTATAAATTAAATCCTTTTATTAATAGAAATATATACATCTTTTACTTTGTACATAAATCACAGAGAAGACCTGCATAATGGTAGAAGCAAAAGGATCAGAATGTCAACTCCTATGCTAACTACCCAGCCCTAAAAAGATCACGCAGGAAGCAGGCTGGGCGCATCTTACCGTTCATGTACTTTGTTGCAGAATACATGCAAATGTCAGCTCCCAGAGACATAGGCCGCTGAAAGACAAAGAAGGCTTTTCTTTTACGTGGGAAACCACTGGAAAGTATGTTTCTGTCCCCCACTTACAACTGTCAATTCTTCCCCCAACCTCCTCTGTTGGGAACTTTGCAAATATTTGTCTAGCTTGGAAGTTTTCAGAGATCCCTGATAGGACGCATCTTCCTGGGTGATGCTCACCAAATAAACATTAAAACTGTGAACTACTGGCCCCCACATGGAACCTGAAAGCACAAGGTGAACAGAAATGACAGACAGACGCACCCAGGCCTCCTGGTGTTCCAAGCTGTCCCCAAAGGCCGGTACATCAAGACCCCTCGTTCCACCCGCAGGATGGTTCAGCGCTTCAGCAATCGGTACACCAGGTACGAACTGCTCTGCTTAAGATTTTAATCTTTAAACCTTTACGAGGTGCTCATGATTTTTCACGCTCAGCCCATCACGATAGGAGCCCCCACCGGCTCCTTTATTGCACAAGTTTTGCAAGTGTAAAGTCACCTATATAGAAATTCGTTTAGGTTTTTCTCCTGCCTGATTTCCATACATAAGAATCCTTTAGTCTTAAAATACCTGTGTTCACAGAGGGAGTTAAGGTCACCACTAAACAGTGCATTATCAACGTACTTCCAGGTACAATTTCTTCCAACTTTTCTCTTCCTCCCTCTGCCTTCCTTCCCTCTCTTTCTCTTTCTTTTTTTTTTTTTTCCCCTCCTGAGGACTGAGCTACATGCTCAACGCTTTTCATTTCTTTTGTTTTCCATTTTGAAAGAGTCTTGTGAAATCAAGCAGCTGGGTTAAACTTGAGATCCTCCTGTCTCAGCCTACCAGATTGCCGGGACTATAGGTGTGCACCCGGTCTCATTTTCTTGTAAAATGCCTGTCTGTTTTTGGTTTGTTTGTTGTTCATTTGTTTGTCTGTTTTTAACCTCACCAGCGCTGTCTGGTTTTGGAAGGAGTCCGTATAGTTTGCTATGGCACCTTTTCCTCTAGGGTGATGCAGAAATGGGATCTGAGGCATGACCCAGAGCCTGTGCTCTGTGACGGCATCCAACTAGGTGACTTGCAGTCTCCCCAGCACTAACTCTCTGTAAACTTTGCAGTCGAAGAGAAAATGAAAAACAGTTCCTCACATCTGCTGACCTCATTGTGTTCCAAGAGCCACGCTAAATCCTTTACCTGACGCAGGAAAGTTCCTTAGGAAAGACTTTCCCAGCTCAGGAAAACCAGTGTCTTCAAGAATCTCAGAGAGCAAATACAAAAAAAATGAGGCCGAATCATATTTAAAAGCCAGCAGGCCGGGACCGTGGCGGGGGCGGGGGTGCATGCAGTGCCGAGACAGCACCTGAGTTCTGGGACCCAAAGAGGAGAGGGAAGGTGGGGAACTGAGCCACAAGCGTCTGCAGGGACGAGGAGGGGCTACAGGAGCTCTGCAGGGTAAAGGAGACAGACAAAGGGTGCAGAGTGCCAGTGCGGCAGGCAGGGAGGAAAGAGCAAAGACAAGGCCACTCCTCAGGTGACTCTGAGGCAGGGGAGGGGGAACAGGGTGCGGAAAGGCTCAGCTCACACCAGCCCCGTCCGAGTTGCAGCCCATGAGCCCAGCAGCAGATGACAGGTGAAGAAAAGGCAGAGTGCTACTCAGCCACCAAAGAGAAACTGAGTTATCTGTAAGAAAACGGATGCACCCTGAGACCACGATGTTAAGTGAAATAAATCAGATACACAAGCTTCAATTTCACATGGCTTCTCTATAAAGAGGAAAATAAAAGATAGGTCATAAGAAGCAAAAAGATATTTTGCAAATGGGAAGGGAGGGCAGAGGAAGGGGAGGAATAAAGAAGGTGTGTTACCCACAGGCACCAACTCCACAAAAGGAGTGCGTGCGTTATGTACGCAAACATGGGCTAATAAAAACAAAACAATAAAAATACTAAAACAAAAAAGGAAACGGCAGCCAAGTTGATCATAGAGACTCTCCGAAATGATCTAACAAAAAGAGCAAAAGAGAAAGTAACCGTGGTGCAGGAAGCAGAGGAGAAAAGGGGAAGGGAAGATTACAGAGGGTTTGTGCTGAGGGGAGGTTAGTGCAGGAGAGAAGTAGGGAAAAGATCCCTTAAAGGAGGTGCATGCTGAACCCTGAGCAGCAAAGTCACGGGGTCTCTGCTCCTGAGGGCAGAGTAGAATGAGAGGCTCCCTAGGAGAAGCCCCCGAGAGCTGGGCGTGGTGGCTCACATCTGGAAACCCAGCATCAAAGAGGCTGGGGCAGGAGCATGATGAGTTCAAGGCCAACCTGGATGACATAGTGAGAGTCCGGAGAGAGAGATGGACAGATGAACAGACAGACAGACAGAGAAAGAGGCCCCAGAGTGCTATGTGAGTTCTTCTATTCTGCGAGGGCACAGGGAAACACCATCTCTAAGCCTAAAGTTTGCTTTCACCAAACCTCCTGGTCCCTCCACCTTGGACTTCCTGGCCTCCAGAACTATTAAGCCACCCATGTCTGTTAATAAGCCAGCCCATTCATTTTGACATAGCAGCCCAAACAGATAAGACAGGAGCACTGTAAACTCTTAGTTATAATGTAAAACCAATGAGGTAGAAACTCCTAGCTCAAATAAGTTACTGGCACAGAGAAGTCAACAATACAGAGGTTAGTCACAGCCTGGGCGGGCAGAGGGAAGAACAATTAGAAAGAAGAGAAATGGAAAAATAACACATGTGACATAAACTGGGACTTCCCTGAGCAGAGCTTTCCCTTTCACAGGTATTTAGCAGGTTGGCCAGGTAAGAACTTAGTTTGAAAAGAAAGCCATGTGTAGCATGCAGGGCTGTAATTCCAGCATTCAGCAAACTGAGGCAGGAGGATAACCAGGACTTCCATGAACCACACAGCGAGACCTTGACTCAAAAAAAAGGAGGTTTTTACATGGCTAACCTTCAACACATATATAAAAACACATGTGGTGTGAGTGATCAAGCTGTTTTACAACCACACAGATAGAATTCAAACATCTACTATTTCCCAGGCTTTGGAGACAAGATGACATCATGTTCCAAAGGTTTACACACCTCATGAAACAAGCCTTATGTTCCAAAGGTTTACACATCTTAAGAAAACTGAGATTATTTCATTTAAATCATATTTTTAAATCATAGGTATGAGCCGGGCATGGTGGACAGGCTAAAGTCCCAGCACTCAGGGGGCTGAGGCAAGAGGATCAAGCCCTGGAAATACAGTGAGTTTAAAGCCAGCCTGAACTATATGGAGACTCTATCCCAAAAACCCAAACAACCAAGCCCAGCATGGTGCACGCCTGTGATCCCAGCACTCAGAGGCTGAAGCAGGAGAATCACCCTGAGTTCAAAACCAGCCTGGGCTAATAGTGAGCTCCAGGTCAACCTGATTAGATAGTGAAAGCTTGTCTTAAAAAAACAAAACAAACAACAACACAGACAAACAAATGGTTAAGGATATAGTTCACTGTAAATACAAGACCCTAAATTCAACTTCAACAACCACACACACACACACACACACACACACACACGCACACCAAGGTACCATACAAGAAATCAAACAAGGTTTCCACAGACAAACAAGGTTTCGACATTGACGAATAGTAGAAAAGGTCCAAATTTACTTCTCTGCTGAATTAGTAATTATGATTAGGTAATTAGTAAGTATGATTAAGTGATTAGGTTTCACAAGTCCGACAAGGATCTTCACCTTCGCTAGGTCTCCCTGTTCTAACCATGGTCCCCTTGTCACACCAAACAGTAAATACATAAGTGAGTCTACCTCCACTTACCTGGAAATATGGCGACATGAAGGAGTTGTCCACCACCAGGATGACGTCCTTGTGCCTGTGGACGATGCGTGCACATGCCGTGATGTCAGCCATCTTCAAGTTGGGGTTGGTGGGAGTTTCGAGCCACACCAGCTGGGTGGTTCAGGAGGGAAGAACAGCTGATGGAAGTGCACTTACAAGCACCAGCCTCATACCCTGCAGCCAGCAGGGAGGCTCTGACACCAGAGCAAAATTGCAGGGAGCAGGAGAGTGGAAGGTTTGCATCCCATCCCCACCTGGCCTCAGCTCGTAGCTCACCCTCTGCCTCCCCTATGTCCACATCTGTATAATGGGTTTTCGGATAGCTATCTTGGCAGTGGTTCGAATCCAATAAGATAATGGACATCAAAGTAAGAAAGCACTGAGCTATTATTATTAGTTTCCATTAAAATAAAAAAAAAAGAGGAGGCAGGCATGGTGGCTCATTATATAAAGTGTTTTGGACAGAGTTTAATATAATCACAATTTCCTTCCTTCTTTTAGACTAGTTATTTTAATAAGTATTTTTTCTTTTCTTTTTCTTGCCTTTTCTGGTTTGGTTTTGTTTCATTTTCAGGAAAGATTAAAAAACCGAGCATGTAATCCCAGTTCTTGGGAGGCTGAGGCAGGAGGTTGCTATGAGTCTGAGGTCAGCCTGGGCTACAAAGAGAGTTCAAGGCCAGCCTGAACTGCACAGTGAAACTCTGTCTCAAAAAAAGAACAACAACGAAATGATTTTTTTTTTTTTTAAATCCCTTGAAAACAAATCGTTGGTGGTGCATACTGATAATCCCAGCTGTCTGGGAGGCTGAAGCAGTAGGGTTACAAATTCAAGCTCAGCCTTGGCAATTTAGTGACTGAGATCCTATCTAGAAATTTTTTAAAAAGCTAAGTAGGGGGACAACTGGAGATGTAGTTCAGTGTGGGAACTCTGGGTTCAATTCCCCAGGACTAAAATAACTACATAAATAAATAAACCAACCAACTTTAATTACTAGACGCTAACTCCTATGCTCCTCTGTAAAGAAATTATTTCTCTGAGAAGAGATTTTCTTTTTAGCATTCACTGCAGAATCACCTTGAGTACAGTTCTGAATGTTAATCCTTCGCTAAAAAAAAAAAAAAAAGCTGGCAAGGGCGGATTTGGAAAAGATCCTGGTCTTTCTTTTTCACTCCTGTAGAATTTAAATGAGACCCGAAGAAAGAATACCACATCTGCTATTCACTCAGGCACAAAACACCTCTGGTGGCCTGCAAGCCTCCCAAGACCAGGGCTAAGGGCTGCTGGTGGCCCATTCTCTGTGTCTGTTACTGCAGTGGGACCCCGGGCACCCAGAAAAAGCCATTAGGCAGTATCCTGTGGTCTGGCAGGCGTCCTTCCTATCATCCCATCATCAGGCAGCTGTGAGGTCCACTCCCCACACTGGCTTGCTAACGCGGTGAAGACTGGGGCTCCTCCATGGAGAAATAAAACTTTCGTTCTCTTGTGTTGTTGGTGCCTGAAGCTGGGGCCTCCTACAAGCCAAGAAAGAGCTCCGCCACCTCTCTAAAGAAGCCAGGGCAGTCACCACTTCACCAGTGAAGACCATGAGACTCTGGCCCGATAATTTACCCACAGGAACAGACCAGCTGTGAACCGGAATCATGGTTGGGAATTTCACTCTGGAATTCCTGCGTGAGTCTCTAATTCCTGCAGAACCCAGACACCAGCCTCTGTATTTCCAAGGGTTCATAATCAAATTTGTTTTTCAGGTTTCAATTCTAGCCTCTGGTGGGAAAAAATGATGAAAACAAGACACACAGAGAAGACAGGCAACACTGAAAACCAGCTGAGTTACCTTGGTTTGTGGTGTGATTGCTTCCTCCAGCAATTCAGTTTTGGAACAGTCGACAAACGAAATCTTCAATCCAACTTCACCCGCCACCTGCCGCAAGTATCTGCTAGTACCTGAGGCAGCACAGAATCAGACAAGATAAGCATCAAGAAATGTGCGTTCGTTACAGGTCTATGAACATGGAACGTTAAAAGAAACTCAGTTACAAATAAAAATTCAACTGAAAGCAATTTTAGTTAAGTGGCGTGGCTATCTGTTCTAGTGAAGAATAACAAGGATCCAGTAAAATAAAACAGGCTGGATTCCCACAACAGGAGACAGGATGCAGAAAATACCAGGTCTGGTCAGGGCTGGTGGTGCACACTTGTGATCCCAGCACATGGGAGGCTGAGGTAGGAGGACCACTGGACTCCTGGAAGCCAGCCTGGACTATGTTGTGAGTTCAACACCAACCTGAACTACATGGCGAGACTCTATCTCAAAAAACCAAAACAAGCAAGCAACATATCCAGTCTCCGTTTTCAAACCCTAAGTGCAGTGCTCCCCGAAACATTAATAACTTCTGTAGCAATTTCTTCTAAGTACTCAGAACTAAAGTAAATTAATGTTGATAAAATGTCCAAAATACATGTTTAGTCAACTATTATTCTCTGGTAACAACACAGTTGGTTACTATTCTTTGTGCTTTCTCGATGCTTTTGTTATGTGGTTCTGAAAGCACTTTTAATGAATAAAATGAGATAATGTAAATCCAATGGATTTTTATTTATCTTAAAATATGACAAATCATTAATGCAGAATAATTTATAAGAACTGTTCTCAACTTTATTTTTTATATTTAGAAAATTTAAAGGAAAACCACTTGTCCTGATAGTCAGCAAAAAAAAAAAAAAAAAAAAAAGTAAATGGCCAAAGATAAACTGGACTTTTGATGTTATATAGATTGACCCTAGGTGAAATCATGTAAAGGATTGTTAAAAATCAACAGCTCTCAGGATTTTGTTGGCCAAAAAGGTTTTATGGACTTTATTTTTGTTTTTGTTTGTTTTGTTTTGTTTTGATCTTTGAGATACCGCCAGACCTAGTTGTCATGAGGCTTTTATAACGTAGTCAAAAATACCTACAGGCTAGAGATCTCTGTAATTTCAGTTCAACAAACTAGAGGACCCCAGGTAAAATATAAAAACAACATGCAAGTTTCTGAGGTAGGAAATAATCACTAGAATAACTCCTTTCCTTCTAGGAACTTAGAGATTTAACTTTTTGTTCAGATAATTCTTTTTACTTTCCCTTCCAGCTGGATTTGAATTTACTATGTATTCCAGGCTGTCCTCAAACTCATGGCAATCCTCCTGCCTCAGCTTCACAAGTGCTAGGATTACACACAAGTCCCACCATGCCTGATTCTTAAACAATCTCTCCTACAAGAAGGGCACAGACCCTAAGGGTTGGTTATCCTCATTTGCCAAGCCTGAGCCAGTCGTACTTTTGAAAGACAATAAGTAATCGAGACTGTTGCTATTCTTGCTAATGTAATTCAGAGCTTGCTTCATTGCCTAATTATTATTTGATGCCACATGGATTGGTAAGGTTACCTACCTCCATACACATCGTCCATACAAACCACATGGTCTCCTGCTTTTAACAGGTGGAAAATTGTCACAGAGGCTGCTAGGCCCGAAGCAAAGGCCAAGCCTAAAATAAAAATTGAGTTGGAGTTAACCAAAAAGACAGATCTAGGGGTAAAAGGCCATCCACAATATTTACACACATGACCTCACATTCCTGCCCCTCAGATATCTCAGTCAAGAATAAGTGATCTTTAGAAGATAAACACACACACACTGTAGGCAGGAACTTGGTATTACATTCATTCTACCTCAGTTATAACATTTCTATAACATACTTCAAAAAATAATTCTTTGCAGAGCTTGAGACAAAGGCTCATTGCCCATTAAATTACAGTTTTAAGATATTAACTTTTGAATTTGAGGAACAGAGCAGAAATATGACCCACTTATTCATTATATGGATATTGTTATGGCTGATACGTTGTGTTAACATGAGAAATTTCAAGGTTTAACTAAGGGACTCAGCAGAGGCCAGGGTCCTTACTTTGTAAGCATCTTCATCCTGTACAAGAGGAGAGCAGGGAGCCGGTGTCAGTGCTACACCTGCCATGGGGGTGGGGGAGCCTGCTTACAATATAAGGGAGGAAAACAGGCTTGTTCTTGCTCTGGCTGCAAACTTGAAGTGCTGGCCCTGGGCCACGCCACCCTGATAACTGATTACAGACTGAAACCTCCACCAACTGTGAGCTAAATAAACCTTTCCTCCTTTAATTTTGGGTGTCAAGTATTTTATCTCAGCAATGACAGAAAAGTAACAAAAACAGATATAAAATATAATATCCATGAAACATTTTGTTAAAATATTTTAAAGAAAAATATTTTTAGTTAATTTATTTGTTTGTTTGAGACATAGTCTTGTTATATAGTCCAAGCTGGCTCTGAACACTCAAGGATCCTGCTGCCTCAGCCTTCCAAGTGCTGAGAGTAAAACAATACCCCACCCCACCTGGCTGGAAGGAAACATTTTTAAAGAAACTCAGAATCAGAATTGAGAAGTATCTGATAAATTTAAAGATGACGGTTGCAATTGCCTGCCCTTATTTAGCATCATTTATATGAAGACTACAGTGATGATTTAATAACAGTCTGCTACCCTAGTGGCAGAACAAAGTTTCCAGGAGTTAATTTCTGGTCTCTGGGAGCACATCATAAAGGGGGACTGGTAACAGCAAGGCACGGTGCTGCTATCCTTAAGCAGAAATTATCAAGTGAATGAACCAGAGTATTAAACAGTGTATGATCTCCTAAGTACAGTGATGAAACTGAATTTGTACCTGTTTATACTCACAGATGCCCCTTTGTATAACCAGGTAATTCTCAGGAGAACTATAGTAAGTGTCACTTTTTGCCCAGCTAATTAGTTATTTCTACGTGATGATTACACATATGCATACAGTGTCAAGTGAGGGACCTCGAGCAAAGTATTTAGTATCTTAGTAAAACATGAGTTTGGAGTGGTGAGCCCTCACACCCAACTTTTTTATTTTCCTCTTCTTTTCCCCTGTGTGTTTCTGGGGATTAAACCCAAGACTTTCATACTTACCTCCTTTCCTAGAGATTTTTGAATTTTGAGATAAGGTATGACTAAGTTGTTAAATTGCCCAAAACTTGTGATCTTCCTGCCTCAGCTTCCCAGAGTGCTGGGGTGACAGGTGTACTCCCCCACTCCTGGTAGTAAATGAGTGAATCTTTTTCTCACATCTGCATCCTGAGTCTCTGGCATGTTCACATCCACATCACTTACAGTACTTAGCTTCATCCAGCACCGCTACTAATTTTTCCAAGCAGTTCCTAGTGGGATTTCCAGAGCGACTATACACAAAACCCTGAAGAAAAAGAAGAGTTCATTTTAAGAGCTTCACATTTATGACGAGCATCCTCACAGAGACATTTGAGCAGCTATGAGTTCATCCTACTGTAACAACTTTCTGTTATTTAGTGTCTATAATTTATTTCCTGACTTAGAAGTATGAGAGCAAACTGGTTAGGGGGTACAGAGGAAATTAACTGAGCCATAGAGTAACCCTAATTCTGTGTTTCCTTTCCTAAGAAGTAAGTGATGCAAGTTCTATTAGCATACAAGAAGAGACCACAACGGACCCTACATACATTGGATGCTCAGATCTTGGCTCTTCAAACTGGCTCAAAAAATGAGAGTAGTTCTTGGCAAAGTACCTTTCACACAATACTTTTTTAAAATTTCCATTACACTCCTTTTATACATATGATACAACAATATCCATATTCACACAGTGATTTACTTAATTCTTAAAGCCTGATTTGAGGCCAGTGAAGCCCATGTCATAGGACCTAGAGAGCCAGCATTAAAACCCAGGACCCTAACACTGATGAAAAGACCTATGATTCCCCACCCCCAACTCATAGGGCCCATAACAAAACACAATCACTCTTGACACCTGTGTTGATGATTCAGGTGCTCCTGATATTAGTAGAACTCCTCACAGTCACCCACCAGAGAAAGGAAATGCTACGATTCACATGGCAGCTACCACAGAAGAGGACCCTACCCTTCTGTAAATTTTTACTGTAGATATTTATTTACCTTGGGGTCAGGGCACACTTCAGTAGCAAATTGCCTCATCTATGCAATGGCTTTTCAAGTGGAACTAAAGAATGATGTTTCTTGGGCAGCCCTTCAAATTCCCCATAGTGCCCTTAACTGATTTTTCTAGAGAAGTAAACAGCGGCTTGTAGAGTTAACCATCCCTGCTTATTCTGAAAACGTTATGTTACTACTATCGTATCAGAATGATTAACTTTTGTGCTAAATGCCAAAGCTTGCACAGCCACACATTCAGTAACCTGCACACCAGACACACTGTACACTTGGAAGAGGCTTTGTATGCATATTTTCATTTCAACTTCACCTCCCAAAACAAAGGTCACAGTCTATGAGCACAAAGGTGTACTTAACACCTTTCAAAGGTTAATCAAGGCTCAAGACTTTCAAAGATTAATCAAGGCTCAAGATTTATAAAGTTCAGTGAACCAATTTATTCCAAATCTCAGCAACTTTAAATACTCCAAGACCCATCTGGTTTGCCTGCAACAAGAACAAAAGCTATGCAATGAACACATAGTGCTCTCTTACAGGGTTTACAAGTCATGTATGAGTCCAGGTCAGTTCTTTGTCTATAAAAGACTCCTAATACCTGCCCTGCCCTCTGAACTGACTCTTACGAAGATCACATGGAAATAGTATAAATGTGAAATGCCAGTGCATCACTGAGTGTTTATCATGTACACTGTAGCTTTACAAATACCAACAACCTATGCTGGTAGGTATTACTATTCTCATTTACACAGGAGCAGCCTAGGGCTTGGAAAGGTTAGACAGTTTCATCAGGGTAGACACTCAGAAAAGGTGAAGTCATGATTCAGAGCTATGTCCTTTATGACAGGCTGGAGAAGCCACACTGCTTCATGATGTAATATGTGACCTGGTGGCTGGCATGGAGCACGCCACAGCGTAGCTCAGCTCCTGAGTTTAGGAGCCTGAGACTGGCTGTGCACCACCCCTAAATCTCAGCTGTTGCATCAGAAAAATGAGAACATAGTTCAGACTAGGGTCCTTAGGATTAAACCAGTCACCACATGTAATACACTGTATATACACCTATACTTTCTATACAAAAACATTTTCTATGCATATATAAGTATGTACATATCACACAGTAGGTACTCATCTATTAACCCAGTATAGCTATTGGGGAATTATCTTAATTCTAGGTGAGTTATCAGACCCTTAATTTTTTTTAAAACGAACTTCTTATGGCATCTTTTATTTTTTATTTATTTGCTTTTTTACTAAAAGTAATGCAAAGAAGTTTTGGCTCTTGTGTCTGCAGTGACAGTTCGCCAAAAATCACATGAGTTGCTGTTTAAGACTTTACAACAAGCTACACAAGCCGCTCCTTTCCACACTTGCGCCCCAAAGAGACCCAGAGAGCTCTCAGGCCAGGCTGGCTGCCCGACGCACCAGCCAACCTCCCCGCCCCGCCGGGCCCCCGGCCAGGCTCACCGAGTGCTGGCCTGGCGCGTCCTGCTTGAAGGTGGTGGCCAGGGAGATGGGAGGCACCACGGCCCGAGAGTTCCACTGATCGGGATCCTGGGCCGTGTGGATCGCCTGCGTAGCGAAATGAGGGGCGCGAGGTTGGAACCCCTCAGGGGAGGAGTCTTTTTTCTGCATAATGAACAGCAAAAAAAGAAAGGAAAGAGACGAAGATCTCACTATGACACCAGACCGTCAGGACAGGCTGGAGCAAAGCAGCTGAACAGGAGCCCAAATGGCCCCGCGGGAGTGCGCCCCAATGTACCCCCCAGCAACACGAGCTACCTTTATAAACTGCGTCTGAGGGGCGGGGCCGTCACGGACCAATGAAGGCCGGCCCCGGCACCGCGCTGGCTCCTCATTGGCTGGAGGAGGGGCGTTGCTTTTACGTCTCCCTGGCGCCCCAGAGACTAAAGGTGAAGCTCGGGGGGCATCCCAGGTCAGCGAGGTTTGGTCCCCGCGAGAGGTGAGGCCCGCGGGTACGAGGTTGGCCCAAGATGTAGACGAAGGCCAAGGCCAGGTGGGTGTTGAAACCGAGCAACCTTGTAAAATCAGGCCACACAGTTTCCTCTAATCTCCTGATCCTCGCCCCTGATCCCAGGCTTTTGTCCCCAGGGCAGTGTAAAAAGACGCAAGCCGTGGTCAGAAAACCAAATGTGCGATGTGGGTGCTCATGAATCATAGATACGGTGTCTTCCAGGTAGCTGACTCAGCAGTGGTCCAGGGCTGTCCCTGATTGACCCGCAGGCAAAGACCCAAGCCACCTTGGGGAGGAGGGCACCACAGCTTCCTGACAGCTGCTCAAACCTGCTCAAAGGAAAGCTTCGGTGACAAGAAGGCCTTGAAGCCTTCTTGGAAGCTCAAATCTTTACCCAGAAAGCTTTTCCACTGTTCCCCCAGGATGTCCTCAAACTCACTTCGATTCTCCTGCCTCAGCCTCCTGAAGCATGCATTACTATGCCCAGATCTTTTTCCATCTTACACTTTGTTTGGTTTTTTTGAATTTAGACAAGGGCTTACTACTTTGTCCAGGTTGCTCTCAAACTGCTGAACTCAAACAGTCCTCCCAATTTAGTCTTCCAAGTAGCTAGAACTATAGGTATGGGCCACCATGCCTGGAAATAAAGGATTTTTAAAATTATGGCACCAACATACATACTTAAAATTAGATCTTTTTTACTCTTATGAATTAAGAACATTCCTTAGATGACAACTTAATATTATCTATTAAGGATTTAAAATACTCAATTCACATGACTCAGAAATTTCACTTGTAGGAAATTTCACTCAGGAAATTCCTGCATGTGTCCAAAGATAGGTGAGAATGTTCTTTATGTCTATGAGCTGCTTTTAATGGCAAAAGAATGGAAAACAGCTCATTATTGCTCCTCAGAACCTGATCAGCATTTATGGATCAGCCCTGTGACCATTACACTATGCCCAAGAAGCAGGAGAAAATTGATGAGCATTGATATAACATGGTATCTGATCTCCAGGACAGCCCAGAACATTGCAGAATAATGTGTACACTGTGAATTCATTTTTCTCAAAAAATTATGTAGCATATTGCCTTTGTTTTAGACAGACTTATGGTATAATGGATGTACAAATTATTCCAGTAATAAAAACCATATCAGGGACATCATGTATTACCTCTTTGACAATAATGAAAAACTAAAACCTAGTGTAAAAGTTTCAGGTATCTGTACACAAATGACAAATATCTGAGGTGATGGATGTAATCATCCTGTTGTTTTCTTTACATATTACGTACATGTATTGAAATGTCACATTATAGTCTCTAAAAATGTGTTTTGTTTCCTTTTGTTTGAGAGACAGAGTCTTACTAAATTGCCAGGCTTTACATTTATAATCCTCCTGCCTCAGCCTCCCAGAATACAGAGATCACACACGTGTACCACTACACCTGGCCTGTATCCTATAAAAATCTCTTTCAGTCCCTTGTGTTCACCATACTCTCACCACTGGGCCCTTTCACATGCTAAACCAGAAGCCAACACGCCCTTCCTTCTTCCTACTTCCCAATTCCTTAAATCTCACAATATCTAATTCTCACAAGAAATCTCCTCTGATCTCCCAGAGACCTGTAAGAGTGAAAATTTTGCCAGGCACAGTGGTACACACACATAATCCAGCACTTGAGAGAGACTGAGGCAGGAGTATCACTAATCTGAGCTACATGGTGAGTTCAAGACCAGCCTGGACGATATATCCAGACCCTGTCTCAAACAAACAAAAAGCATGAAATTGTATGCTTTTTAAAATTTAATTGTGTGCTGATTTAATTAATACTTAGAAAGCAAATACAGAGTTTCACAGATGGACCATCTCAAATTTCACAATTAGGCTAAAGTAAGAAGAGAGTAAAAACTTGATTCCAAGCTCAAAATAAACAAAATCATAACCCTTGTGTCAAAAAAATGCAAGTACCAAAACTAACTAAATAAGAGGTCTGGTGATACAATCTGTTAGCCTACAGTCTTCCTAAAAAGTTAGATCCAGATATTTAGATTGTTTAAATTCCTTATTTAGAGGGACTTTTGTTGACTTTAAAGTCATATAAGCTACTTTACCGGCTTTTATTTCTTAGCTTTTTGCACTGAACACTACTGGCTTCCTTTAGGCATCTTGAAAGCCATTTGGTCAGGCTTTGCTCTGTACTTAGATGTGGATGTGTTCTCTCTCACACCTTAAATTTTACCTTCTTTACTTGTATGTCAACTTTTTTGGTTGCATTTTGTTGCAATTCAGGCTGCCCTTGAACTCACTCTGTAAATCAGACTGGTCTCAAATTCACAGGGATCCTCCTGCCTCAGCTTCCAGAGTGCTGGGACTACACTACCACTCCCAGCCTACATATTAGCTTTTAATCATAGTTATTTTGCTAACAGAATATGCAAGGTTGTGTTGTAGAATGCTGATTTTATTTATTTATTAATATCTCTGGTTTTTGTTTGTTGGTTGGTTTCATGAGACAGGGTCTCACTATGTAGCCCAACCTGGCCTTATACTCAGAGCCATCATCCTGCCTCAGCCTCCCAAGTACTGTAATTACAGATATGCCCAACAAGACTGCCAATTTTATACAAATGAGAAGTTGTTGGACAAATTCAGCTTATAAAGGGGATAGAAACTGATATGCTAATAAAGTTAATTGACTTTTACAAAAATATCCATCTATAGGTACATATATTTGTTATGTTACTGATGGGATATGTCAGGCAAAATTCACAAATAATGAAATGTTTTAATTATTTAAAAAGTTTCAGTTACACAAATTGTTTAGAGAAAATTTTCTAAATGCATTAAGTGATATTCATGTTAGAAGCAGTAAATGCTACACCGTTTGGATGGAATGCTGATTGTTCATGCAAGTTAGCCTGTGAACATTCTCACAATGTTATCATAACATTCACTAAAAAATGTTCTCTTAGGAATGTAGTCCAGGAGAGGCAAAATTTTTTTTTTTGAACCGGGGATTGAACTCATTACCTTGAGCCTGCAGGCAGGAATTTATGCTGCTGAGCTAAGTCCCCAGCTAGAAGGGGCAAACATTTTATAGGAAATAGAGGACTTCACATTTTTTACATGCCTTTGCTGCTTAATCTTTTTATAAAACAGTAATTTATTACTTTTATAAAAATTATTCAGGCTGGGTGTGATGGTGCATGCTTGTGATCCCAGAAAGACTCTCTCTCTCTCTCTCTCTCTCTCTCTCTCTCTCTCTCTCTCTCTCTCTCTCTCACACACACACACACACACACACACACAGAGAGAGAGAGAGAGAGAGAGAGAGAGAGAGAGAGAGAGAGAGAGAACACTAGTGAGAAACAGAACTAAAATCTGAATCCAGGTATACTAATTCCAGATCACAGTAGCTCAGCCACTGTGGTATCCAGCTCCTCTAAGGCCAGCCTTCTGCAACCCCTCTGGTGGCCCTGCAGTATTGTTATTATGAGCTGGAAAACTACATTTTATGAGCACCCAGTGCTTAATTATTCTGACTTTTGGCACTCCTGTAATATCATTTTGTTTACTTGTTTTTTGGTACCAGGAATTGAACCCAGAACCTTCACACTGAGCTACATCCTTTGCCCTTTAAAAACACAAAATTTTTTGAAATAGGGTCTAGCTGCATTGCTAAGTTGCTCAGACTAAGCTCTAACTTGTGATCCTTCCGTCTCAGCCTCTAAGAGTGCTGGGATCACAGGTGTGCACCACCAGTCCCAGCTCCTGTACTATCTTACATTCTCCTCTACTGTGATAGTTAACCCCCCTAAAAAAGAAATTATGTGTTCATGTGAGTTTACTACTGGCATATAAATACTCATAAGACAAGACCTGGTTCTACTCATATTCTAATTAGTGTGTCTAATGCATGACTTACGTTCAACAAATTTAATATTTCAAAAAATGGGTAAAGAATAGCCTGTCATTTGTCAAACTTAGGTATAGTGCTTTTTCCTCTACTTATTAAGAAATGTTGGACTGGGGATTTAGCTTAGTGGCATAAGTGCCTACCTGGCAAACGTGAGATTATGGAGTTCGATCCTTGGTACCAAAAAAAAATGTTTATTGCATATCAAACATATACTAATGTACTAGCTCATAACTTATATGGCTTCACTAAAAAAAACAAAAGTATTATTCTTATAAGCTTGAACTCTGGTGAGGGAATGGATAATTCCTACTAAACAAATAGATAGTTTATATTTTCTGATAAGAGATGACATAAAAGATGGAGAAATTAGAACAAAGTAGGCATAACAAAAAAAAAAAAAACCTACCAACTAAGAAAAGTGCACAAAAACCTACAGAATGGGAAAAAAGACTTGCCAGCTATTTCTTAGGCAGAGAACTAATATCTAGAATATATAAACAACTCAAAAAAGAAATTAGGCCCCTCCTTCTAAAATAAAAGACTCTATCAAAAAATGAGTAACTTCTCAGCAGAAGTACAAATAGCCCATAAATACATGACAAAGGGGTTAATGTCTGGAGAAATCCAAATGAAAACAACAATGAGATTCCATCTATAGCAGAAAGAATGGCCATGGCCCAGAAATCACCAGGTAACAAACCTTGGCGAGGCTGTGAGATGGTGGGAATGTAAACTGGTACAACCACTATGGAAATCGGTATGGGGGTTCCTTTAAAACCTACAAGTGCAAATTCCACTGGACCGGCTGTGCCCCTTCTAAGTGTCTCCCTGAAAGACCTGAGGATGTCCTGGTGCGGTGATGTGATACATG